TGTGTGTGTGTGTGTGTGTGTGTGTGTGTGTGTGTATGAATGCATGCCACATATGTGTGGTGGTCAAGGAAGCCAGAGGCGGCACTGGATCTCCTGGAGCTGGGGTTACAGGAAGCTGTGCGCTTACGTGGGTACTGGGCACTAGACTGGTTCTCTGCAAAAGCAGTATGTGCTCTTAACCAAGGTCAAATCTCTGGCCTTTTCCTTATTATTTATTGAGATAGGGTCACACATAACCCAGATTAGTCTCAAACTTGCGATGTAGCTGATAAAGGTCATAAACTCCTGATCCTCCTGCCTCCACTTCTTTTTTTTTTTGTTTGTTTGCTTGTTTGGGGCTTTAGTCTTATTTTTTAGAGTCAGGGTTTCTCTGTGTAGCCCTGGTTGTCCTGGAACTCACTCTGTAGATCAGGTTGGCCTCAAAATCACAGAGATCCGCCTGCCTCTGCCTCCTGAGTACTGGGATTAAAGACATGCACCACCACTGCCTGGTTCTGGCAAACATATAAAACTATTTTTATGCATGTGTTAGGATACATGAGTTGTAACACATCTATGGAGGACAATTCACAGACGCCTGTTGTCACTGTCCACCATGTGGATCTCAGGGACTGAACTCAGAGGCTTGGTGACAGGCACCTTTACCTCCTGAGCCATTTTGCTGGCTCACCTCCATTTCTTAGGCGCTGGGATTCAGGACACATCTCCTGGCACCCTTTTTCTCCAATGACATCTGTAACAAGCCAGTCTGTCCAGGATGAGCATGTCCTGGAAATGTTGCACTGACGAATGAGATGCAGGTGCATAGTCACAGCCCAGAGACTTGGGAGGGCTAATTAGAGCAGCTTCCAGGTGGTAAGCAATTGCTCTCCACCAGGTACGCCCCATTGATCTTCATAACAACCCCATGAGGTAGGTAATATTGCTCCCATGTTGCAAGCCAGGAGACTGAGGCTTAACAAGATCCAGCAGGTTGCTGAGGGTCACAGTTACCAGGTAATGAAGTTGGGATTTGAACCCACATAATCTGACGCAAAGCCACGCTCTTAACCACCCACACCTGATCAGCCACCCCACTAATTCTACAAGCCCCTAACCCCGGCCCAGCTTCTTTCCCACACTCAAGAATCCTCAGAGGTGAACAGGTTGATTATCAGACTCTGAACAGACTCTTTGAAGCTATGCAGCCACGGCCAGAACCTCCGCTTTTCACATCTGAATGTTAAGGATAATAATACCCACTTCATAAAGTTGTGTTTGAATGGAAGAGGGAAAGAAATGCAGCAGCCTTCTAAACTACAACCCTGTCTCAGTTCTACGCACAACCAGTGCTTGTACCTGGCCATTTCACTCACTTTCAAAATGCTTCTCCCACCCCATCCCAAAACTGCACAGGCCATTTTCAGAAACCCAACCAATTATGACTGAGTTAGCCAGGACATCAGCCAGCAGTCAAGAAGGTGACCCACATCCAGTTCAAACTCATCCTTCAAGATGCAGCTCAAACCACCTCCTTCAGTGTACAGAGACATTCTCAGAGCGCGGCCCCACCCTACAAGCTAGGATTATAAAATGATGAAGGTTTGGTCCCCAGCCAATGGCACTATTGAGACAACTGAGTAAACGAGGAAGCTAATCTAATGGAGGAAGCAGGACCTGGGGGGGGTTGTCTCCGGAGGGTCTGTCCTGTCTCTTTCCCTCCCTTCTGCCCCCCCCCCCGCTTCCTGGCTGACATAAAATGAGCACATTTGCCCTACACCCACCTTTCCCCCAGGATGCCCACCTCAGCACAGACCTGGAGCCATGAGAGAGAGGCCAAACAGCCAGAGAATGGAGCCTCTGCATTGTGAGCCAAAATCTACCTTTTCTCTCTCATGCTGTTCTTCTCAGGTATCTATCACAGTGATGAACTGCCTGGCATACAGCACACAAAGCAATTCAGGGCTGGACGGTGGTGGCGCACGCCTTTAATCCCAGCACTCAGGAAGCAGAGGCAGGCGGATCTCTGTGAGTTCGAGGCCAGCCTGGTCTACAAGAGCTAGTTCCAGGACAGGCTCCAAAACCACAGAGAAACCCTGACTTGAAAAAAAAAAAAAGCAATTCAGATGCCCTGGTGAAGGTTGAGAGTTGTTGGCCACCCCAGCCAGAGTAAGGGAGACCAGAAGCCTGGCTCTATTCAATTCCTTGCCACACCTAAAAGGTCCTGGATCTCAGGTATGCATGGCTCTACCCACTTCCACTCTGTCGATCTTGTTTAAAGCTACCTTCCAACAATGCATTTTTGCTTCTCCCATGTTAGAGTGGAGCCCTGGGGCCAAGCAAGCACTTTACCACTGAGCTGCCCCATCCCGATGGGCTCCTCTTACCACCCCACAAACCCAGTGTGGGAGAAGGAGCCTGGCCCATGAACAGGCTGGGCAGGTACTCGATCCCTAAGCTCCATGAGCCCTCTCTCTTCTTCTTCATTTTTTGTTTGTTTTGTTTTTCAAGACAGGGTTTCTCTGTGTAAACTATCCTGGCTGTTCTGAAACTCGCTCTGTAGATCAGGTTGGCCTCGAATTCACAGAGACCCACCTGCCCCTGCTTCCTGAGTGCTGGATTAAAGGCGTGCGCCACCGCCCGGCTTTAATTTTAGTTATAAGTTTTGGGAAACGGCCTTGGCTGTCTTGAAACTCAAGATGGAGACCAGACTAACCTCACACTGTGACAGTGTCCCTGCCTCCAGCTCCTAAGTGCTGAGAACCTGCGAGAGGCCAGACTAACCTCACACTGTGACAGTGTCCCTGCCTCCAGCTCCTAAGTGCTGAGAACCTGCGAGAGACCAGACTAACCTCACACTGTGACAGTGTCCCTGCCTCCAGCTCCTAAGTGCTGGGAACCTGCGTGTGTCACCATCAACCAGGCCTGAAGTCTGGAACTGAGTTGTGCAGACAGGCATCCAGGACATTCTGGAAAGCTGAAAATGGTGACGTGAACTGTGCTTTCCGGGACCTTGCTTTGCTTTGCACTTCCCTATGTAGAACCAGTATTAGAAAAAGCAGCACTCAGGTGCTGAAGACAGCACGGATGGGCACACACAAAGTGACAAGATCTCATTCTCACTGTTCGGCTTTCAAAGCCCGGTCCTATCACAGCCTAAGTCAGCTAACTTCAATTCTAGCCCTGGCTGTTCTCTCCCTTAACTTTATTTATTTATTATTTATTGGGCAGAGCAGGCATTCACAGCACACGTGTGGTCAGAGACAACTTTGGAGAGCTGGTTTACTTCTACAGTCAAGGGTCTGAGGATTGAACTCAGGTCATCAGGTGTGACAGCAAGCGCCCTACCAGCTGAGCCATCTCAGAAGGTTCTCTTGTACAAGTCATTTAGGCTCCTCATATTCCATCTCCTACCACCAGCTTTTAACCTGCTTGTCTTTTAGATATGTATGAGTTCCTACATGTCAGTCTCTTGCTGGGAGAAGAAATCCAAATTGAATAAAAAGTAAGACAGGCTGTGGGTAAACCATGAACAAAGATGGACAAGCAAGCTGACATACAGTATAACCTGAGCTTTCCTATCCCAGACAAAACACTCCCAGAGCGCTAACTGGAAGCCTAGCAGTCCTACCCAAAGTCACCATCCGTTCATTGGGCTGATGCTGCAAGTCAGTGGAGGGCTCACCTAGCATACACGAAGCCTTGGGGTTCAATCCCCCAGCATAAGCAAGGTTTGAAGCCACATCCCTATAGGTCCAGCACTCGGGAAGTAGAGACAGAAAGATCAGATCGGGAGTATTCCTCCTGTAGCAAGGGTGTGGACAGTTTGAACTACATGTAATTTTTTTCTCAAAAAGTCAAAACCCAGATGCTCAAGACATGTCAGCCATTTCAAATTACATTTAAAAGCAACTGGTGACCCTGAGATATGTGTGGTCGAGGATAAATTTCATACTCATATCCGGTCTATCTGATATTAACTCCAAGAAGTTTAATAGAATCCAAGCCACAGTGAACAGCCGTTAAGAACACTGGTAGCTCTTTCAAAGGTCTTGAGTTCAATTCCCAGCACCCACAAAGTGGCTCACAACAGTCTAACCGAGTCCTATAGGATCCGATGCCCTCTTCTGTGTGTAGATGTACATGCAAACAGAACAACACCCAAATGTATAAGTTATATAAATAAATAAACCTAAAATAAAAACAAGAACCCAAGTCACTAGTTAGTCCCTGCTCCTTATAGGCTCTCCAGGAATCCACGGGATTTAAACCAAAATTAACACGCAGCAGGGCTCATAGGGATTCCCCTTAGACCTCGGCGCCGTAGCTCAACCACCCCTCCCGAGCCCGCGAGCCCCTCCGCCCTGCGCTGAGATCCAGCCCCCTACTTCCTCACCTGCCGCAGCTCCCCAAGCAGCTTCCGCTTCCTTTCTTCGTCTCGGCGCAAAGGACACTGGAAGTCGTAGTCAACAGCATTCAAATTAGAAGAATGGCTAGCAGCGTCCGCTTCCGCCGGAAATGCCCAAATCACCGGAAAACTCGATAAGTGAGTTCCACAGGTCGCTGGGGATTGTAGTTTAATAGTACGATTTAAATCCAAGATGTCTTGGAAGTTAAAGGTCACTTCATTCACAACAATCTGGACTCTCCAGCCATGCCTAATCCCTCACCCACCAGAGACCTTTCCCAGCGCCCCCTGCTGCCCCAAGTTATGACACCTCACCTCCGCAGCCTCCCATGGGTCATTACTGTGTGCATAACAGCCAAGGAGGCATTTCTCTCACATCCCATTACCATTAGTGTCCAAACCCACAACTTCACCATTTTGACCTGGCTCCCTTAACAGCTGCCAGCTTGTATCCTGGATTGGAGTTCTCCATAGAAGTAGCACCAAAAGCATTCTTCGGTCTCTGTGAGGAGACGCATTGTGGAAATTTGCTCGTAGGCATATGGAACCTGCAGTCTGTACACTGGAGAGCCAGGAAAGCCCTCGTAGTTCAGTCTGAGCGTGACCTGATTCTACAGAGAAACTTCTGACAGAAGCCTCAGAGAACCAAGGTCCTCAGCCCTGTTTCCATGATGGTGGAAAGATGGATGCCCAGTTTTCAAAGAGGCAGATGGAAGCTAGTATGGCTGGTGTGGTGGCTCATACCTGTAATCCAACCACTTGAGTGACTGAAACAGAAAGACGTGTTGAAAGCCAGTGAGACCCTGGAGAGAGAACCCTTCTATGTGCTTCTAAAGTGTGCCCACCCAAGGTGACTCCTGCTGACTCAGCCCACCTGGCCAGCCCAGAGACATGGGGCCACCAGGGCATCCCAGTGGGCAGTCCCAGCGAGCTCCTGATCCTACCACTGATCCATCCCCAAGGGTGACCCACTGCACCTGAGCTTCTTCCTACTGCCTCACCCTTGGCCGTTTCCAAATGAGGGAGCATAAGTATCAGAAGTTCAAAGTTATCCTCTGCTAAATATCTGAGGCTAGCCTGAGCTAATTGAAATCTTGCCCAAAAAGAAAGGGAAAGGGAGGCTGGAGAGATGGCTCAGTGGTTAAGAGCATTGCCTGCTCTTCCAAAGGTCCTGAGTTCAATTCCCAGCAACCACATGGTGGCTCACAACCATCTGTAATGAGGTCTGGTGCCCTCTTCTGGCCTGCAGACAGACAAAATATTGTATACATAATAAATAAATAAATAAATATTTTTTAAAAAAAAGGGGGGAAAGGGATTGGTGGAAGTATGGACGGAACCAATTACAGCCCCCACCCTCCTCAGGAAGCCCTCTCCAACACTGTTTGTCTTGTCAGCTCTTCCAGTTGGGTTTTGTCCCTGTTTCAGGGAACTGTGTTGTTTTGAAATAGGGTCTCATCTTTGCTGTCTTGGAATTCACTGTGTAGACCACGCTGGCCTGGTTTGTAGACCTCATCTGCCTGACTCTGTTCTAGGCCACTACCCCCACCCCACGTCCCAGTCCATTTGTTGGTCTTTACAGTCCCTCAGAACCCCAAATTGGCCTCAGGCAAAACAACAATGACAGAAGTGAGTAGCTGGAAAACAGAGATCCTACAAAATGCCCAAAATGTCCCCACCTGCCTGCTGTAATGGCTCTTGCCTTTAATGCCAACGTCACTCTGAGTTCCAGGCCAGCCCAGAGTGTAGCACAGTTAATAAGAACCAGAGATAGATATTGGGGTTCAGAAGGTCAGAAAAACAAAACATTCAGTCACTAGCTCTTACCTCTACCTCAGTCTGAAATGGCGATCCTGCCTCCAGGAATCTCACAGTGAGACTGTGTCTGAGAGCTGTCTCCTCCTGATTTATATTCCTCTCTAGTGCTGGGATTAAAGGCGTGCACCACTACCACCTGGTTTCTATGGCAAACTAGTGCGGCTACTGGGATTAAAGGTGTGTGTCACCACTGCCTGGTCTGTAAGACTGATCGGTGCAGCTGTTTTACTCTCTTTGAATTTCAGGCAAGCTTTATTTATTAAAATACAAATGAAATGTCATTACACCAAAGTACATAGTGAGACCTTTTCTCAAAAACAAAAACAAAAATAAAAATAAAAAAGACAGTCACCACCTAATGTCAACTTCCATAGAACTGAGTAACTCCTCTGTCCCTGTGAGTCCATGGACTCCTGGAAGCTCTGAGTCCCTAGGGAAAGAGAAACAGAGGTGCAGATGAACTGCTAAGGCTGACCCTCTCCGCCTCGCCCAGTCACTCCCTCCCCATCTGCTGAGGCAGGCTGATCTTCAGCTTCCAGCCGGAGTTCCCTCTTTTCCATCTCCCTCTCCAAGAGGCAGCTTCTGCCTCTCCCCACTTCTCCCCTTCTGTCTCTCCCTTCTGTCTCTCTCTCCTCTTCTCCCCATTTCCCTTCCCCTCCATAACCCACTTAATAAATATCCAGCCTCACTCTGCATGGCGTGCCTGTCCATGTCTCTGTCTCTTGCCCGCCACCGCGTGTCTCCCTGCCCTGGACCAGTCACCACTTGAGGACCTGCAGCATTTCTGCTGCCTGTCACCGTGGGGGATCCGCAGCATTTTTTTTATTTTACCATTACACCACACACACACACACACACACACACACACACACACACCCCTTCTCTCTTTCAGAAACTGTGGGCTCAAGTCTCTGCTAAAGACATTAGAAAGAGATCCAGAGGAGAAAGTCGAACATAGCCCTTCCCTAGGTGCCTTGCCCTCCAGAAGCCTTCAAGGGACAGGCTGGCAGTGCTTGATGGCCTTGTGAGGTAGGGATGACCGCAGATCCTGACTGTGGCCAAGGAAGAACCAGCAGGTGCGCGCTGGGCTGTGGAGCAGCCTCTGAGGCCCACCTGGGTTCAGAAGGGTTAACCAGCTGTCTTGTTTCCTTTGGGTTTCAGCAGGCTGCAGGGGCTGTGTTGGGCTACGAGCTCCATCTATCGGCCGCTGGGTGAGCTAGCTTTGCCTCCCTAAGACCTTCAGGCCAAGCAGAAAATCCCCTGTAGAGGGCCTTCGGCAGCACAGAACTAAGATGGCCTATCTGATCAATGCAGGCCTTGTTTTTTTCACCTGGCCACTTCCCTGGGGAACTCTAAAGGACTTTCTGGCGCTTGTGTCCACGCTCTGACACCCTCTCTCCCAGTCAGGTCACATATGAATGAGCATTAATATGAAAGCTAATAGTCCGGATCCAGGGTTAGATCTGTGGTGATGCTCTCCGCTTACTAACAGGACTTCGGCTGGTTTCTTCACCTCTCCGTGCCTTGGTTATCCCAACTGTAAAATGGGACATTCCTTGACATCTATCTCTTTTGTGATAAATTAACTGGCAAGGTGTTGTAAGGCCTGGCCCAGAGGGGCACCATGAAGGTTAGTCATTGTCGCTATGGCAACAGGCAGGCTTTCAGGCAGATGCCGGGCTTGAGCATACAACCTCCTGGCCAGACACAAAGGCATAATCCTAACCAGCTCATCCCTGGAGAGTTTGCCAGAGATCACAGCCTGCACTCTTCTGTTCATGACTGGGAGTCCGGGGCTGCAAAGAACCTCCCTCTGCAAAGGTCTGGAGGAGACTGGATCAGAGTAGGGAAGGACTTGCGGTAACGATGAAGAAAGGAGGGCTGGGTATAACTCGGGGTGAACGGCATATTCGCACAAAGTCCTGGATTTCATGCCAGTGTACACATGGGGAGGAGGAAGAATTAACAGGCACATGAGATGCTTTTTTTTCTGGGTATGATTTCATACACCTATAATGTCAGCATCCAGGAGACTGAGGCAGGAGGATCACATGTATGACACCAACTGGGCTATAGAGCCAGACCCTGTCTTAAAAAAAAAAAAAAAAAGTGTAGTTTGTAGTGGCCCAGCAAGGTAAAGATACCTGCCACCAAAGCTGATGATCTAAAGTCCTAAATTCAGTCCCCAAAATCCACGTGGTGGAAGGAGAGGGTGACTTCCACAGCTGTCTTTTGAGTTCTACCTGCATGATGGCACATGAGCACACGTTCATAAATAAATGTCAAACAAACACCAACCCTCAAGATGTCCTGCTTTAGGGAAGAGAAGGGCAGGCCTATTGTGTACATGGAAGGGGACCTGGGAAGGGGATCTGAGGGTGGAGAGGAGAGAAGAGGGTCAGGGCCCCTGCACCCCAGCAGCCTGTCCTGGCTCAGAAGCCTCAAGGTGGATCAACCTTTGAAGGCATCTGCAGCAGGGCACTCCAGTCTGCAGGGATTTAACCATCTCTAGCTTGCCTAGTGGGGAGGAGACTATGTAGAGGAAGCTGCTCGCAGGCCCCCAGGCCTCATTCCCACCTACTCACCTCCCAGAACCCGGAAGCAGGGAGATGAGTTCATATCCAGCCATCCCCTTGCCTCTGTTCTCCATGCCTGCCTTCCTCCACCCTGCAGGGAAATGGGTATGTACATTTCCCCAAGGGGTGGGGAGGTTGAAATGTGGGCCTTCATCTGACCCTCAAACCCAAGACCACAGAGGTCAACATTTTGTGTTGAAACCCACATAACTGGAGGCAGGTGGCAGCTTGGGTGTTCCCTGCTCCTGGCGCTGGATGCCCGGGAACACAGGACTCCAGCGCATTGCCTGCTTGGGAAGCAATTATCAGAGAGCCTTCAGCTCACCAAGGCTGTCTTCTCACTAATCGGATTTCATCAGAGCCCCGGGCTGAGAGGAGGGGGTGCTGAGTAATTTGACTTGCTGCAGTGGTGGGAGACATCAGGACTAGGGAAGTTGGGTAATCTGTCTGAGTGGTGTTAGAGTTGTCCAGAGCAGTTACCCTGAGGAGACCACACAGACAACAGACAGACAGTGTTTGGGGTGGGAGGACTGACCCC